TTAATAAATTATTGATAAATTTAGTAACTTTTACATCTACTAAAAATGAATTATACTAACAAATCCATAACTGGGAGCTCTTTACGTAACTTAGTGAATATATCACGTTATTTCACGAGTAACAAGTGAAGTTGGTCCAATTTTTAATTTGATTTTGATCGTAAATAAATATTAATTTATTAATTCAGTGTCTCTCTTGTAAAAAAAATAAAAAAACCATAACAGGAACTCTGTTTTTGCTGCTTTGAGGCTCTGACTATGTTAAGTTGATCTAACGAATCCAGACCAACCCTCTTCAATTATGGAACCAATTTTCACCGAACAAATATTTTATTTTCTGGTGGTCAGCCGTCCACTCTTGAGTCTGAAGAATTTCTGAAGCCTACTTCCGAAGGGTCTTTTCTAGATGGAACGTCATAGTTGATACTGTGCTTGATTTTATTCCAACTATCGCCAGATTCTCTTCCAATGCTAACAGTACAAAACAAATTGTTCAAACTTCATTTCGCTTTTTTTTTTAATCAAAGTAGTTTGTGCATACCAAAATGAGTTTATATAATCTTATAATCTATGTCGAATTAAAAGATTTAAAAATTAATTTATACTTCCTCTTGAATCCTTATTACCCACTAGACTTTCAATAATGCATTCCACCGTAATCCAAACCCATTATTTTCATTTTTGCACTACTTAGAACCATATTGTTATTAGTTTAATTAAGATGAACCTTGTCATTAATTTCTGGCTTTGCTAGGAAGAATGGAAGCAAGAGATATCTTTCATATTTGTTTGTGCGAAACCCACCACAAACACAAAGTGTCGGTTAAAAGTATTACAAATTCACAAATAATTTTAGAGGGTGGACAAAAGCAAGCCATGATTATGGCACATTTGCACTTTTAAAGCTGAATGAACTTATTTAATTTCTATTTCTATATTATCATTAAATGAGTTAATGTCCTAGCCATGCAATTTTATAAGTATATCATAAAATAATGTGAATTATTCTACAAAATAAAATAAGGGATTTAAGTTTTAGGCTAATACCTAAAGAAACTAATTTCTTTAAATATATCAAGTAAATGCAAGGATGCATTGCTCAAGAAAAATTAATCTTAAAATGACAAAAATTGATTGAAAGCACATTGACCATGCAATAAAAAAAAATCCCAACCATGTGATTAATTGGGCTTGCTTAGCCCAAAAAAAAAAAAAAAGAAAGATTAATTGGGGTTGTTACTTCTTACTACATTAATATGATTTTCGTTGTTTTTTTATGGTTACCTGATGCGTATTATACTACCATTTTGAAAATTTAGAGGAGATTGAATTTTTTGAAAGGCATGACCAAGATTTTGAAAATCTATTTTTTAAAACCTCTATTACCACTACTACTATTGTTATTATTAAAACCAAACTGCAATTTGCAATATATATATATATATATATATATATACAAAACTAAACTTTACTGTTACTATCTACAAATATTTTATTCAATTGAGCAAAGGCAGGTCAACATTAAGGCTCCATTTAAGGCAAAACCATGTGTTAAGCCCGTCAATGAACCTCAAATTTGTTATTAAGTTCTCAAACTTTAATTGATGCATATAAACCCTTAAACTCCATGATTTGAGCAATTTAACCCTTATTTCTTCAACTACTGTAAGAATAAGGGCTAATTAAATTGTCATAAAAATAAGGGCCAAATTGTTCATATCGTGGAGTTTAAGGATTTGGACATTGATACATACACACTGCTCTGTTACATACAAATGATCTCTGTTACTTAATCCGTTACACACTGATAGTTTACCAAAAATGCGCTATTGTTTTGGACATTAAATTAGAACCTACAAGGCTCTAAACAAAAAACTAATTGTTCAAAATATAGATTAATATCTCTTGATAACCCAAAAAAAAATTACAGCTCAATCCAACTGTGGACTTTTGTAAATTAGACAAAATGACAAAATTGTGCACAGTACTAAAATTGTAGAAAAATAGATCACCAAAAACAAGCTACTGTTCTAGACACTAAAACAAAACTTACAAAGCTTTAAACCAAAAACTGATTGTTAGAATATAGATCAATGTCTCTTGAACACCTAAACAAATTTCAGCTCAATCATATGATGAACTTTTGTAAATCGAACAAAATGGCAAAACTGCACATGGTATCAAAATTGCAAAAATTTCATATATTTTCTTTTCTCTTTTTTACCGATTTGCTCTACTCACATGCACTCCACTTTGTGCTATATCATCCCAAAGATAGATTTGTTTTGTTTGTCTAAGGTCAGAATAGTGAGAGGAAGAAAGGAAAGGAGAGAGAGAAATAAATGGTTGGGTGCATTTGGGCAGTTACAAGGAAGTGTGTAATGGATTAAATAATGGAGACTGTCAATGTGTAACAGAATGTATAACTTTACAATGCGTATATATAATTTCCCTAAGGGTTTATATGCATAAATTAAAGTTTGGGACTCAATAGTAAAGTTGGGATGAATTCAAGAGCTCAACATATGCTTTTTGCCTTTATTTAATAATACTTCTCACATATATTTTTTTATACAATATCTTATTTAAAAATGTAAATTTATTATTTTAATTAATTTTAATTAATATTTTTATATATTTAAAATAATAAAATATATAAACCTACAAGTATAACACAATACTTTATTGGTTGAACTCTTAATTTACCTTAAGCAAGAAATATAGATAGATTCACCCATCAATAAAAAGTAAGAATAAATTACTTTTTTTAAATTATTGATCGAAATAAATAATCTATTATTTAATAATTTGTAAAGATAAGTCCGAGGTTCTTAATCTCGGACGTACTGTAACAATTCTTTAATAATCGAAGTAAAGTTAAATCCAGCACTTCCCGGTCAAATGGCTACATGATAAATACAATGAACTTACCCACACTTGATTTGTCACACACAATTTTCCGGTCCCAAAATTATCGCCTGAAGGGACACGTCACACTCCGATTATCCTGTTAAGCATGTCACGTGGACATCTCACGAAGGACTATAAATACCCCCCACGGGTCACTTTAAAAGGTAATTGAAACCAACCTAAAACTCTTTTTTTCATTAGTCTAGAGGTATATCCGATTATTGCTGACTTAAGATCAGAGTGTCTACCCCGAGGACCCACCTCGGGGCTTTGCAAGTTCATTCAAAGTGAAGACGTGGACTAAAGAAAGATCTCTGGTTTGGTGCAATTACAGAAAGAGGAATAAATTTTGTGTTCGAGCAATGCCTTATCTATAAACATTTTCTTCAATTGCGCAAAGCCCCTTGCACTAGTGGCCACACCCTTTTAATGGGGCAGAGTTCTACACCCAGGCTCTGCCAATCCCCTATCCCCCAAAAATCCCTTTTCTTTATTATAATTATGATTATTTATTTTTAAGTGCTAAGCCCCTTACTCCCACTGTTTAAGTCAAAAGTCAACTCCGTCTTAAACGGGAAATGAGGAAGTTCCAATGTGAAGGTAAGAAGTCATATGAAAGAAAAAAAAATGTTAAATTCTAATTTTGGTCCCTCAATTTTATAGGTTTACATTTTTTGGATCCTAAACTATTTTTTATACTCAACTCTAAGAACTGCACAATTTTAACTCTTTTGTCAGTTTGGGCCGTTAAGTCCATAAGCATAGCATTTTTTATATTTAGTCTAACGACATGGAAAAGACAACTTAAAAAAGTGTTGATATAGACAAAATTTTATGCCATGTCATATTTACATGAATCAAACATGACAAAAAAAACCCTAAAATGGGTCTCACATTCCCTTTCTTTCTTTATTCTCCTCACCACCACCACTGTTTCTAGCCATTGTTCCTCACTCTTCATCAATATTTCTCTTCTCCTTTCCCCTTCATCCCCCTTGTAGACTAATTTGAGTTCATCGCAAACCAAGATCTAATTTCTTGAGGAACCTAGTGATTTGGGCTCATGGCGAACTTAGATGATCTAGGTTCATTGCGAACCAAACAATCTAGGCTCTTGAGGAACCCAACGATCTGGGTTTGTGATGAACCTAAGGAGGGTTCTCGATGGCTGATGGCTGTTGGCTGTTTTTACATATCCAGATAATCTAGGTGCCTAAATGATGCTTGTTTTTGCATACTTGTGGTTTTTGCTTCTCCTGATGGTTGGGTAACCAAAATCTTGTTTTTTCGGTTACAACATTATGGATTAGATTAGTGTTTTTGGTGGGTATCCTTAATTCTCTAAATCCATAGCAGACCCTCCCACGAATTTCTCGGATTGTGAAACACATTGACATAGAGGGAAGGATCCGTTGAACTTGCAGATTGTGTAACATGAAAAGGATAAATAGAACTTGAATGATTGGGAAAGGATGAAGTAAGTGGCCAGAGAAATGATAGGGAGCGGGAGATAAACAATGGTAGAGGAGGAGGGAAGATGAACAGTGAGAGAGAAGGAGAACCATGAAGAAGATGAAAGTAGAGGTAGAATTGTATTTTTATCTTTTAATTTATAAATTATTTGATGTTATGGAATTTGACTTGACATTTTTATATGATATGTTATTACACGTCATAAAAAATGTGCCATTTTGGAATATTTTAACAATTAGGTGTGACTTAATTGACAAAAAACCAAAATTGTATAGTTTTTGGAGTTAAAGAATCAAAAAAGTGCAAAAAATAATTGATGGACGAAAAAAGTGCAAACCTATAAAGTTGAGGGATCAAATTAGCATTTAACTAAGAAAAAATGCTATTGGTCTGTCACGGAACACTCACAAGGCTCTTGTCACTAAAGCATTGTCTCTTATTACCGTTAAGCTAAAAAAGGGCCAGCAGAACTAAGGACCTAAAATGTAAAAACATTAACACCAAAAAAAAAAAAAAAAAAAAAAAAAAGGAGCCGAAAATTCCAGCACAGCCGAAGCCCCCGATCCCACATACCTTCCTTGGAAGCCATCCAAAGCACAGCACAAAAGCGGTAGTCTTCTCCCAAGAAAGAATTCTCTGCTCTTTCTTTCTCTGTTTCTTACACAGCGGAAAATTCCATCCGTTCAATTCAGAAAGAAGAAATTTTTCTCTTTTCCATAGTCCGCTGTAGGTATGGATACTTCCCCGACGACTGCAGGGAAACCGCCTCAAATCTCCGAGATGTTCCAGAAATTTGCAATGGCATTCAAGAGCAAGACCTTCGAGTTCTTCGCCGACGACGACAACAACAACAACAACAACCCATCAGATTCCGAAGGTTTCGCGCTTCTGGATTCGGCTGAGGATTTCATTCCGGACCAGAAGGTGGTCGTGATCAAACCGGACCCACCTGCGCGGACATCGTCGAACGAAGGGAGTGTCCAGAAGAGAATCGTCGATGCCCAGATGGGGGATGCGTTGGTTTCGTCGATTTTCGCTACGGTTTCTATGTTTGAGGCTTCCTATCTTCAGCTACAGACAGCCCATGTGCCGTTTGAGGAGGAGAGTGTGAAGGCGGCTGACAAGGCTCTGGTCTCGCATCTTCAGAGGCTGTCGGATTTGAAGCAATTCCACAGAGATTTGTGTAAGAAACCTGATTTTGAGGCTGGTTTGTCTTTTGGGTCTTGCTTGGAGGCTCAGGTGCAAGAGAATCAGAGCAAGCTGAGGACTCTGGGATTGGTTTCTGATCGGTTGCAGGAGGAGATTGACCAAAAGGATAGTGAAGTTTTGGCTTTGAGGAAGAAATTGGCTGAGATTCAAAGGACTAATGCCAAATTGTCCCAAAAATTGTCCGGTAATTTGAGTACAGCTTGTGATATTCTGTTATCTGTTAGGGTTTTTGATTCTGTTTTGCATGATGCCTGCAGAGCAACGAATAAATTTTGTAAGATTTTGATTGATTTGATGAGAAAAGCTGGGTGGGATTTGGATTTGGTGGCAAATTCAGTCTATCCTGATATTGATTATGCTAAGCAAGGGGATAGTAGATACGCTTTTCTATCCTATGTTTGTTTGGGGATGTTTCAAGGTTTTAATTTAGGAGGTTTTGGTTTGAGTGAAAGTGAAATTGTGTGTAATGGGCATGCCCCTGAAGCTGCTGAGAGCACCTCTTCATTGAAGCAATTACTCGAACATGTATCGAGCAATCCAATGGAGTTGCTAAGTACAAACAGCAGTTGTGATTTCTCAAGATTTTGCGAAAAGAAGTACCAAGACCTCATCCACCCTACAATGGAGTCATCAATTTTCAGCAATCTGGATAGAAATGAAGCTGTACTGAAGTCATGGAGGTCACTAAGTACATTCTATGAGTTGTTTGTTCGGATGGGCAGTTCAATATGGATGCTTCATAAACTGGCATTTTCATTTGATCCTGTGGTTGAGATATTTCAAGTTGAAAGAGGGGTTGATTTTTCAATGGTCTACATGGAAGATGTCACAAAAAGATATATGCAGCCTGACAAGACTAAGCTGAAGGTGGGCTTCACTGTGGTTCCAGGATTTAAAATTGGAAGGACTGTAATTCAGTCTAGAGTTTATTTAAATGGTCTTAGATGTACAGAATAGTTGCTCTTGGCTGCCTTGTGTAGAGAAATTTAGTAACAACGCGGCTTCTCAATGTGGAAAAGAGGAGAGGTAAAGAAAGGTTGTTTAGGCTTTGTTCGAATTTTTCGCTGCAATCCTAGAGGGTTAGGATTTTCATCAATAAACCATAATGGCACTAGAATCCCAAGGATTCTAGTAACAGTTTTAATGGGTGCCTTTGCCTGCCTTGGTTTATCAGGCTCAAGAGGACTAAACACATTGGGGAAGTCATTTCATAGTATAAACACTTGAAGACTGCTAAATCTGTTGCTGGCTTGCTTGCGCAGCACAGACTGGGCTCTTGGGTGTGATGGTATAGCTACCTCTCATATTCTGATACATAGCTTGTTTCCATCCTGTGAATTTCTTAGGATTTTCATGCAACTTCCTTGTATAAATGGATGTAAAGCACTTCCTTTTTCACTTCTTTTTTATTCTACTCCCCTTCCTTTTTTCTTAAGCTTTGTGAGTTTTTTATACAAGAGAACACATTAACAAGTTGTTTATGTAAATAGTTGTTCTAATATATAATATAGTTTGTATGATTCTACTCTGATATGTCATGTTTCTCCTTATTTTTATTTTTTGATCTGAAGAGTTCGTGCTGTTCCATTTTGAATCAGTTTTCACAGGGAAGATAACATGTCAGAAATTTCAATTAAAGATTTTGAAACAAATGTTGTTGTACGTATTGGCTGCTAATATTTGTCATCTTTCTGCCTATTGTTCTTTGATTTCTTGAATTGTTTTGTGTGTTTGTGTTCCGTTTATCCTGTTTAATTCATTTGTATTTTGGTTGGATTTATCACCAAAGATTTTGCTAATCAACTACATATTTGATCTTCTGTGGGGTGGATATATGTTTCTCTGTGAACAGGGAATGATTTTCTAGTTTTTCATGATCTACATAACATAACAGGCTAATCATGATTGGTCTGTCCTGATTTGGACTCAATACTTGAAAAAGAATTCATCACTGATGACAGATCAATGAGAATTGATTCTTGGTGGACCATTATTCACCCATTGATTCATGTATTATTTTTATGTTATTATTTTATTCAGATTGACTTTAATCATGGAATTAGGATTCTTTGATGATGTTTACCTTTGCCTCCATATTTTTGTCTGCTCGTCTTGTGCTTTAGAATGCTTTATGCCTGCTTTCGCAAGCTATATATTTTTTTTCTGGGCCACATGTGGCCCGTCAGGATTTGTTTGGTCCATTAATGGCCCAAAAGCAGAAGCCTAGAAGGTGTGTATAGAGGGATATACCCATTGGAGCTAGATGCTGATTTAAAAAAAAAAAAACCCCAAACCATGAGTTAGACAATAGGATATTCTGCATATATAACAAGACTGAGGACAGTAAAATTACGATTTCGTTTTGACACCTGATTTAGCTTTCACCTTCCTTGTCCTGGGATGCACGACCCAATAATTGTGGCTTATGAAAAATAGAAATTCATAAAAATTAAGGTGAACACCCATGATTATAGTTAATTAGCTGTTTTCTGAGTATTTGCCATTGAAAACTAGCTAATATGAGTAGACATCCCTTTTGAAGAAAAACTAAGGATGAACAAGAACTGAAAACCAATATTATGAGTAAATTCAATGTCAGCCCTAATTAACCTTCTCATATCAAAGGGAAGGTATGTTGCATCGAATTAATTTAGCCTTCACAAACATCAATTCTAGACTTCAAGATCCTCTTTTACAATCAGTAACAGGCATATATAAACTCAATAAACATTAATTAATTAGCCAAATTAAAGTTTCAAGAGTAGTCATAGTGAGAGAGAATTAATAACGTCTTAAAACCATCCGTGCGAGAGACCTAGCTAGCTGGCCAGAGATGGCCACAACAGTTAATGGTGAAAGAGAGGAAGAAAAAGATAAGGAAATGAAGAATAAACCCTAGCATGCAGTGTCATTATTTCTTTATAGCTAGAAGGGGGTGAGTGCACCCATATTTGCTGGAGGAAAGAAGCCAGCATCCTTCATCACCATGTCCTCTGCATCCTGCATGCAAAAACCCAACTTCACTTCTCTATTTTACTTATAATTTAATAAAATAGATTACATAGATCATAATACCATAAGATGACACTTACTTTTCAATGAATTTAACCCTTGAACGTTTAATTAATTAGTACTCAGAAATATATATATATATATATGTACCTGAGGGCGTACATTTGACTTCTTCACGGGCTGATGTTGAAGATGATCAGGCATAAGTCCGAAATGTATGTGAGGGAAGTGGGCCCACTGAAGAGAAAGAGGAAGAAAACACCACATGAGAAATGAAAAAAAAATATATACGTACTAGATTAATATAATTTCTAAATTTTGTGTTTGGGGAATAAGCAAAAGGAGTACTAAAAAAGAGTCCCGGAAAAGAAACCCTAAATCTCTCTATCAAAAAGAAAAAAAAAAAGGGAAAAAAGAAAGGCATTCTCAAGAATTGGATCTCACATTCTTGGCAGCAGCGCTGAAGGCCTCCCTGTGGCTTATGTCGGGATTCCCTGCTTTGATGCGTTGAATTTCTTCCCTGCACATTTTATTACTATTACGTTACAAAAATACCAAAGTGAATCTTCTTTTCTTCTGTTGAAACTGAAAAGAATGAAAAATATTTGAAAAAAAAAATATTTTATTGGATAATGATTTATGTATAGGTATTTATAAAAAAATACTTTAAAGTATAAAATATTCTTTCATCCACGCTTTGATGGATATATATGTATCAATTTTAATTAGGGTTTGAAGATTTTTCTGAAAATTTATGAAATGGGGATGACTTACTTGATGAAGCGATTGTAAGCAGAAGGGACTCTCTGCCTCTTCTCCGGAGCTGGACATGGAACACACCGACATAGAAAACCAGACAGAATCATTAAAAACCAGACAGAATCATTAAAAACCACTAAATTCTTCGCTGACTTGTTTTATACCAATAAGGTTCTTTTATTAATAACTTGTTAGTTTAAGTGGTAAAAATTTGATTTTTTTAAAATAAAATTTGAATTCGAAAAAAAATAACATTGGGAGAATTTCTTTCCAAATGAGATTTGAAGGACTCGATTTCAAATTAATTAAAATCTAATATGATTATCAAATATAAAAAAAATTGGTAAAAAAAAAACTAGTAAAGTCCTTTTTTTTGTTTTTTTTTTTTCTGATTTCATCATATCTTTCTCACTCATCATTATCTTCATGATAATGCTTCTATCATTATCTATCCCTAGCTTTCTATGTCTTTATTTCCGGGGGAGAAATTTTAATAAGAAGACAAAGCAGAAGACAAACCCAAACAGAGAAGATAAGGAACCGGGAGCTTATCCGGTTAAAAAAGTAAAAGACTTTCGGCTTTACTAAACTCTGAGATTTGGGATGAATTCTTGATTTTTGATTTCTCTTTTTTTTCTTTTCTTTTTGGGTAATGATGGAAATTGGGTGGAGATCTATGGTATAGGGCTGCTCGTAGCTAGAGACTGCGTTTGCAGACATGGAAAAACATCTAGGCATGAAATGCATTTGGCTAAAGCTTCTGACTTTTTTTTGCAAAAACGAAGAAACCCTAGAAACTATTGAGAAAGTAAACTTTCCCTATCCTGTTTTTGTATTTTGGACTAGAAAGAATACTGTACACTGAAAAGCCCAAGGAATTAGGGTTTGAGAAATTGAGATCCAAAACTTCGATAACCTCCCCAAGAAATAGTCAAATCAAATTAATCGACCTAATTTCGTCCCTAAGAGAATTAATGAGAAGAGAAGAAGAAGATGAAGAATCTCACGTCTGTTTACCGCAGGCGGTTTGGGGATCTCTTCGATGACTCCACCGCGAACTGGTATGAAGGACTCATGATTAAGCTGGTTTGGCTGATTCATCAGCAGATTCGGAGGTGCACTCCGGATCTCCTCCTGAAAATGCATTGGATGATAAATTGTTTAGAAAAAAATTAACATACCCCAGAAGAGAGAAGATTGATTAATACCGATACCAGAAGATTCTGAGGAGTAAAGAAAGAATGTGGGGGGTGAAGTTGATTGGGAGTCGGAAGGAGGAGACTGGGCATGTTGACGGAGAGGAGGTTGGTGCAGTGGCCGCATCGGACGGTGACGGTCTTCAACAAGCTACTGTAAGGAACGCTGACCTAAAACAGAAGAAAACACACAGCTAAGAGAAAAGATAAGGAAAGGCGTTTGTTTATGAACACAAACAACATGATATGGACAAAAATGTTAAAAGGGAAAAAAAAAGATGAGAGAGATACCGCGAGTACAGTGTCGCAAAAGTTGCAATGGACGTAACAGAGCTGATCGGAGGGGGAGAGGTGGTCCGGTGTAAAAGCAGAAGATGAGGACGACATGATGATACCTGTTGTGTGGTGATTTGATTGATTGACAGATAAGATTGACTGATCGATCGATTTTATCAATCTAATGCTTCTTGATTTGAGAGAGATATACTAAAGAAGATATAT